CTGTGTGCATTCTTTCATATATGTATGTATGTATTTTTACGGTTATATATTTTTTGTCTACTCGGTTATTCCATGGGGAATTCATGCATTATTTAAATTTAAGAAATTAAATTACTACACCATTTTAATTAATTAGTGTGTAGTCCAGTTTTGTTTTGTAGAAGTTTCGTTAGTATACACTTCAGTTTTTACACATTGAATATATCTGCATATTCATATATTTTCGCGTATCTATTTACATTCATTTATGTACAAGTCTACAAAAGTTTATTACTTATAAAGGCTTATATAATGGGCCTTATTTTAATTTTTGAGTGATTTTCATTTTCATTTTTCGAATCTATGAGTAATATATCGTCGTTTAAAGTACAAAACCGCGTATCAACAAAATCCAAATTCGCGTATCAAGTTAATGCAAAAACGCGTATGTGAATTATGTAAATTATCTTCTAGAGAGTAAAAATACTCATATTTCAAAATGGTTCTCTTTTTTATAAAGCAATCGCATACCTGGCCAGTATACTTCAGGATGAATGGATAAGGATTGAGCCAAGAGCTTGTGTGAGCAAATCCAATTTTTGGCAGCCAATGCCAGTTACGCGGTTTTGCAGAATGACGATACGCGGTTTTGTACTTTAAACCACGATATGATTGTTTGTTATATACTGGCTATATTTCTCTAACTTATGATTGTGCCAAAACTGAATGAATCGTGCCAAAAAGGGCCTTGAAATGAAAATGAAAGTGCCAAAAATGGCACTATAGTGCCTACTTTTCCATCACTGTATTACATGATACGAGACTCAGCATGCAGCCAATCAGAGCATCCAATGATTTTGTGCTCTAATTTGGCAGCACCTACACACCATGGAAAGCTAAGCAAAATGGTGAAATTCCAATCGCCTCGCGAAAAAAGGTACCGTTTTCGATCAAAGGATTTTTAGTTTTGTGTTTACAAAAAATGCTACAAGACTGCGTTTACTATCTAAAAAAAGGTTTTTAATCGCGACCTAAGAATTTTATAATGCTAAAACATAGAGAAAATATTTAAATTTTATAAATTTTGCGTATTTCGCGTAACAAAAACTGACACCGTAAATTCATCAATAAATGCCCGTACTTAGTACTATTTTTCCCAAATTCACACTGGCAGTTTATTATACTAAAATTTAATAGGCCATAAAAAGTGTGAAATTTTGTTGAATTTTCATAGTTTTTGTACAAAGTTGAAATTTGAACTTGCTTGTTTTTATTAGGTAATGGGCGGTACTTTTATAAAAAAAAACGTTCAAAATGTCACGTCGCTATCTATTTTTTCACCACTGTGCGCTCTGGTTAAATTAATGAGCTTGCACCTAGTATTTTCAGTCCGTCTGAATTCGGATTTTTATGGACGGGAGAGAGAAGGGAGTAGAGTTTTAGCGCATCAATCTCAAACCGGGAAAATTACGGTATTATTTCGGTCTGATATTTTATTGCTACCAGAACCAATGTGTACACATAGCTCGAATCCAGTTTTATCACCTGAAAAGCGCAGTGTGTTTCGCAAAAGGTCTGAAAAGACTAGTATGTATAGGCTCAATATTCAAATTCATAATGCATCAACCGATAATTTTATATATTAATTGAAAGATAACTTGTCATCCGTCTGTAATAAACAATTTTTAAATCAGAAGGATAAAATAGTATTGTGTTATTAATTCAAAAGTAAATAATTGTAGTTCAATGACGAAGGGGGAGGATCTATCCCACCATATCCCCCCTGGCTACGCCACTGCGTCCAGGTGAATCCAAAAAATTAAAATTTTTTTTTAATTCTAAAGAAATTTCCTATTGCATTTGTTACCCATAGTTTTATTCTACATTGCATTGAATTTTTTAATAATTTTTGAAACTAATTATATCTTTGAAATTACAAAGTCCTTCAAATAAATCCTGCGGTCAGAGAGAAAAAATAAAAACGCCACTTTAAATAAAAAAGTAGCTTTCAAACCATGCCACAATAATTACAGGTATTGTCTTCCTAGAGAGTTTAGTTAAGCAATTTTTTGGCGTTTTTATTTTTTCTCTCTGATCGCAGGATTTCTTTTGAAGGGCTTTGTAATTTCAAAGATATGATGAATTCCAAAAATTATTAAAAAATAAATGCTCCTTTGTTTTCATTTTAGGTGTATTCGCGTATTCTTCCAGAAGAAAACTCTCAACAGCAAAATTCGAATGAATTTATATCTGTTCTCTCTAACAGAGAGAAATGTTAGCAAAAGTACCCGAACGCAAAACAAGCAAAAACTTGCAAGTTTTTAGTACAACTGATGGAAATTTTGTTTACATACAAAATCATAAAACAGAAAACTTGAAAAGAATATAAATTAAAAGTTTTCATAAAGCAATTTGCTAAGCAAACATGAGTGAATGAGTATTTGCTTTCTTCCGATACATTTGCAGTTCTAATAAGTTATTTCAAACTTGAAAATCATAATAATAAATCTAAAGTAAATTTCCATATTTTCATAAATTGAAAACAGATGACTTTGATCAGCTGTTTTTCTCGTTTACTTTGGTGGATTTTTGTGTACGCGAACAGGAAAATCTGATGGTTATCAAAAACTATCAATACGCGAATAAACCTTTTGACGCAGTCAATGTTGATTCTTTTACTTTTACTTGACTTTGCTTTTTGTTTTCGCTCAATTAAGTTTTTATAATTTTTCAAAACAAAAGAAAAAACTTTTGAAATGAAGTGAGCCACACAAATTTTGCATTTATTCACAAGCAAATGTTTTTTTTGGCTTTTGCAAATTGAATAAGTTCTCTGTAAGATGGTTTGTAAAAAAAATACGCGAACATAGGTATATGGTATATGGGGCATGGAAAAAGGGATATTTTCAGCATTAAACATTTTAGTGTGGGCAACAATGATATTTTTTAAACAAGGCAGATCGGAATATGCGCTCTCTGGGAAGACAATACCTGTAATTATTGTACCATGGTTTCAACCCCATTCATTTATTATTTATTTCATGGTAGGAGAGTTTCTAAAACAATATAGAAGCAATTTTTTCGATTCAAGTTGTTGAAAAGCAATGAATATCTAAATCCCGGGACTAATCTCGGGGTCTCGGGATTGTGACAACGCCATCCCGAAAATCCAGTGATCGGAAAAAGCCGAAAAATTAACTTCCCTAATGTAGATATATGTACATTAGGGTGGCCCAAAATTTGTTTCCTCCAACCACCCCCCAGACCCAAAGAATATCAAAAACAAGGAGACACGTATCTTTTTTTATATTGAAACCGATTAACATTTGCCAATTTTACATGGGGAAATACATTCTTTCGTAAAATTGCTCTAAAATCGTTAAAAATAAATATTTATTATCGAATAAGACTATTTCCCTTCAAAAGTCTTCAAAAAATAACACTATGACGCTTATTTAGCTTAAAAATTGTACTAACTGTATTTTACTAACAGATAATCCTATCTTATACATACAAAAATTAGATATTTTAGATTTTCATAACAAAATCACGCACGAACAGCGCAGTGGATGTGCTTAATTCTTTTCTGCACTCTACTCGATGTTTGCTATAGGTTTGTGGTAAAAAGTTTGGAAAAATATGATTGCTAGATAGTTAGAAATTTAAAATTATTTAAAGGTCGATAAAATATTTAAGTTTTTTCATCAAAACAAAAACCGTGTGAAGATATTTAAAGATATTTTTGAACTGAGTTGCCACCTTTTTAAAAACTAGAACAATGATTATTAAAATTTTAAGCTTATTTAATACCACAATATGGGCATCATACGAAAGCTAGCGACGAAAGGTAGCGGCGATATATTGCACTCATTTTACTTTTTTATATAGGTGACGACTTTATCCAGAAATAATGTAGGGGTTAGAACTTCATTTTAACTCTTTTTGTTTGAAACTCATACTTTACTTAACCGCATGTAGCATTATTTAAAAAATGTTGTATTATAAATAAATGGCAACCCCATTTTTCAAAATTTTATACACATACACCCAGAAATAATCGAATAGAATGCAAACAAAAAATAAATAAACACATCAAGTTAGCTGTTCGTGTGTGATGTTGTTACGAAAACATAAAATAACTTATTTTTGTATATACAAGATAGGATTATCTGTTATTAAAACAAACTTAGTAAAATTTTAAAGTTCAATAATCATCATAGTGTTATTTTTTGGAGGCTTCTGAAGAAAAATAGTCTTATTCTATAAAAAATTTTATTTTAAGAATTTTATAGCAATTCTACGAAAAAATGTATTTTCTCCATGTAAAATAAGTGGGAAACTTCTAAGTCCCGGTGGCACGGGTAGGCTTACCGTACGTCCTCCTTTGTGCCTAAAAAAGAAATTTCCTCCTTTATGACTGAAATGTTCTCCTTATTTTTGTACAAAAATAATAAACAGTAAATATAGAAAAGAAAAATAGCCAAAAGTGGTGAAAATGTCACTTGACTTAATCAGCTGACCACAAGTGGATATGTACATATTTTTTATTTAAAGCGTTTTTATCAAAATATATTGTCCCTCAAGCGTCATCGTTTTGAATTATACCTGGAGTAAATGTCCTCCTTTATTGTTTCAATTGTCCTACCAAGTTAAATGTTCATCTAGTAACCCTAGGCACGGGTAAATATTAGTCGATTTCAAAATACAAAAAATGCGTGTCTACTTATTTTTTATGTTCTTCAGATCTGGAGGGTGGCTGGAGGAAAAAACATTTTGGGCTACCCTAATGTACATACATACATAAATCTGTTCTACATACTGTTATGTAAAAATTTGTGTGCACAGACGACTCCGCCAGCACACGTCTGATATGCTAGCGTGACCTATGCACCTGCTGCTCAGCAGCTAATCGAATCTGTGCCACTTCGCCACTGACACAACTGACATGTGCCTCTTATTTCCCTTCTATATTTCTGTTCAATTTTCACTGATCCTTTTATGCACACTCTCTCCATTTTCAGGTCATACTCGTTTTGAAGGCATTGGATATGTATGCATCTACGCATCTAACGGTCATAATTCAAATCATTTCGCACGTACTGGCGTACACGAACTCCTGCATTAATCCGTTTCTCTATGCTTTCCTGTCGGAGAATTTCCGCAAAGCATTCCGGAAGGTAAGTGCTAGAAACAATGACAAAGAGATCAATGAATACAGAATTTGATTCAAATTTTAAAGCAAAAAAAATCTTTCCTTTTTCCGCCATTTGCGTCTTCAGGTCGTTTGGTGTGGTACACCGCCACCACTAATTAACAACCAACAGATCACCAAGACGACGCGCACAACCAACTGTAATGGCACCTCTAACGTGGAAATGTTATAAGCCCGCAATGGTGAAACAACCAACAACAAGCAATGGCCACCCACAAGCCAGCAGCAGCTGAATCAGCACACGCAAGCACTTCCATGGCTGCGGCAAACCACATGTGGTGTTTCAGCAACTGTAACTTTAATGCAGTCGAATTTGTTGTTATTTCACATTTAATACAAACACTTATAGTATGCAGATGCATTACATATAAAGCTTATTTCGAATGCAGCGTGTGATTTGTATGTATGTACATTAGAGTGTTCTAAAAAAAATTTACGAGAAAGGGTTTGGGGCACCTTCCAAGACTTTTCCTCTTGTCGAACGAGGTGCTGGTACCAAACTTTACGTTTCTAAGTATAAATTTAGAGGATGCTCATGATGCTCATATTTTACTCTAGAAGTATTGTGTACATGTATATATTAATAAAAAAATTGGTTAAGTAACCTAAGGATATTTCAAATTTAAATTATCTAAAAAAATATCACAAGCTTCAGTTGTCATGGCAACAGTCGCTTTTTATAAAAATCACCAATATTTTTGCCAGTTTTACACCGATGCAGTAGCGCATTTCAAGGTCATTGAGCACCTTGTATTGGTTGTAGTAGAAAACTGAATGCTGGTATAGATATTACAAATATCAAAAGGAAAAAACTAAGGGGTGCCGTTTTCTAGGATGTAAATATTTTTCCCCCCATATAAAAATTGGACCACTCTAATGTACATACATATATAGATATTTGGAATATACAGTGAAATCTCGATACAACGGAAAACTCAATATAACACAATTTTTGCATAGTCCCCTGAAAACCTTCGTTGTTGCGAAATTTCCCATAAAAAATGTTTCATGGATATAAAGAAGAAATTTTTTAGCATGAAAACCTTCCATATAACGAAGTCTCGACTCAAACGCCTCTACGTTATGAATTTTGAATATGTTGACGGTTAGGTTAAAAATATTACTCTCTCAGATGTACGGAAATCAGTATGCCGAAAGTGCCCAGAGTGTGAGGAAAGCAAAAAAAAAACATAAACACAAAAAGCCCTTGATCGAGGAATCAGCTCACTACAGAGATTTTTGTTGTTACTTAAAGTGCAAGATAACGTAACGAACTTTCATTCAACTGAGAAACCAAATGTGAATTAAAATTGATTTTACTAACATACCTAGATACACACCACACTTATATGTCTTTGGAGAAGGAACAAAAATACATAAATTATAAACTACCCGCAAACCAGTTTTCCAAAAACATGCATACCTTTATGCAACACCTCAAACACAAAACAATCGATTTGCAATTTAACACTTTGTCCATTTGTGCCCGAAAAAAGGGTCCGGGCGGTTTCGGGCAGGAAGAACAAGACCTTTACGAACCATAATTGGAGCGTGATCGCTCTCCATTACCCATTTTTCGGGCATAAGAAACGCTTTCTGGCTATTTTGGATAATTGCAAGTGTGTGTACACATAACGAAACATTTCCCCAAACCCCTTCAACTTCGTTATATCAAGGTTTCACTGTATCTGCATATATTTTTATGCACGCGAGCATAAGGAATGTCTATACACATACATACATATATATGTATGTACGCATTCCAACATACATACATATCGCATACCGTTTTCAAAAGAGTCACAACTCAAAACTTGGCATTTTTGAGATTATGCGCTAAAAATGTACGCAGAGCTTTCATTTGCCTTTCAGCAAAGCTGGAGTAAATCTTTTTTATAATTTGTTAAAAAAAACCTAAGGTAAACTCGCCCTTGCCCATATGATTATCATGTGGTAAGAAATAGTTTTTTGCATGTTCTGACATTTATTTTTAGTTGCGACTCTTTCGGAGACGGTGTGCGATATGTAGGATAGGTGTCCCACGTGGTGCACTACAGCCAACCTGAATTGATTTGCTTATTGCATTGGCATGTATGCACGAATGCGTTTTAAATTTGCATCGTCTGCATAACTGCACTTACATATGTAGGTGCATAGGCATACACATATTACATGTAGATATGCATGTACGTATGTATATGCATAGCATCGTTATGCCCCAAAGTCCCTAAAGAGCAGCAAATATATGAATGCTCAAAATAATCGGTTTCTTTCAGATTTTCATTTTATACCTACTTATGTAGACACTTAAAAGGATATAAACTTGTATTACTCGTACTTACAGCCAAGCTGATTTTAATAAGATTAGTGGTATGACTTAGCTTTTAACATATGCAGCATCAAAATATATGGTGTAAGGAGCGAATTCTCGATTAATTTTCAAGCTATTTAAAACCTGCCTGTACGATAATTAGGTATAGTATAAAGTTAAATGATTCCATACCTAATTCTTCTAGCATGCCCGCGCGCTGTATGAATTCTACATAGGTGTAGGCTCATTCATCTAAGCGGGGTTATTAGAAAATGAAATTATAGGGGTTGTACGAAAGATTCACTGCGATGATCCGATAGTCTTACTTCCGTTATTTCTTTCAGGCTGGTAAAATATGGTGAATCAATTCGTCCCTTTCTTCACCTTCCGTTCGAACCGTTAGGTCAGCATAACATTTTTCACTTATTTAAAATCGTATAGAAACTTTAAGCGGAAGTCTCAGAACAATATAAGGTTGACGACAGACGGTTGCTTGCTAGAAGGGATGCCATGCTATAAAATGTATATATTTCGGTTGGGTTGGGCGGCAGTCCTATGTGGACACTTTTAAGGTATTGGTCCTTTGTGATACCGCATAAGGTTTGTAGTTATCCCGGTTCTCCTATAAACCACTTGTGCTTAGCATGAAAGTGCATATGCTTCTAGCATCCATTGATTTGAAGCCATCGTGCTCATTGACGAAGTAACTGCCAAGAGCTTTTCCTCTCCGGTTTGGTAGAGCTGGGCAATGGTAGAGAATATATTGGACAGTTTCTTCGGGTGCGAATATTCTGCCTCCGTAGATTAAATAGATACGTTCAACGTCTATGACTAGCCAGAGTGTTTTGGCAATATGACTCGCCAGTTCTATTCGAAATGTTTTATTGGACTATTCAGTACAAACTTTCATGTTTGAAGAGGAATTCCAAGAGTATCCATATATCTGTATCAAGCAATGACGTTCCATTAAAAGCGAGTTCCCCGGCTTTGCAATTTCCCAGAATGTCGCACAATATGTGTGCCAAATGCATAAACCATCCATTTAAGGGATCGGCGGCATTGAGCAAATACCTTAGAATTGTTCCGAATAAACTCAATCCACAACTATTTCGTCAAAATTTGATCCATCCGTGTATGAATTGATGAACATGAATTGATTCTCTTACGTTGTATCTACTGAATATTCATTCCTTGAGGAAAGACATATCATGAACCTGGTGTTGGAAGTGCGGGTGAGTGGGTTGTAGTGGGTTGTAGGAAACTCAGTAACGTCATTCAGGATTTTACAGTGACCGATATGGGGATGCGTCTATTTTTTGGTCGCGTTGAGCCTAATGGCGCTGTTACGTGCCATATTTCTTGCATACAGATCCGTCGGAATAAATGTTAGTAGCGCATTGAGCGTTTTGTTGCGTTCATGGCCCACGTTATCAGTAGAGAAGCCGGCTGTTGAACCTTATCTATTTTCTTACCATTTATGTTTCAATTGGTAGCATCCCACCAAACCACTTCACCGTAGTAAAGAGTCGGGTTTCGGTGTAGATCCATGTTATGATCTCAGGCTCCAGATCCAAATTTTTTCCTACATCCTTGGTGCAGGAGTATAAGCAAATACATAGCATTGGGACAGCAAACTCTCTGCCTATCAGACTAGAGTTACAAAAGTTAGTATCGGATTTCTGTGATGTACATACGATTAATGGCGAGTGTGTGCTTAAATAGATCACACACTTCACAGTCATTTTTTTATTGTCTCTAGTGATCAGCGATATTTCACTACCGGTGATTTGATAACTGTGATTTATAAATCGTTTATAGTGACGAAAAACGAAATGAAAAATGGCAATTTTGAGCGAATAAATAAAGCTTTTCCCTACATGTACCCACACTGATTTGTCATCATTTATTAGAACTATTACATATTTCTGTGTGAACTAGCGATCCCAATAGTCATAAAAAATCACTGTGATTTAAAAATTGCAATCAATCTTTTCACTGATACTTTTAAAAACCAGACACCTGGCAACCTGGCTTAGAGGGGTAGCGATTTAACTTGCCTGCTTTAGGAAGAAATATCACTCTAACTTCCTTTCAACCTTTGGGTACATATTCTTCTGTCAATCATGTTTAAACGAGAGTCACTAGATGGAGAACACAGCCACCTCATTCGATCCTGGAAATTTAAATGGATCGAACAATTTGATAGTACACGCTAGTTCATCTCTTTGCATATGTCTTTATCACATTTTCCCGCTGCATGAACTATGACTGATGTTTAAGTTCCGTGCAGCCTGAATAATGTGTGGGCATCAGGTTTTCCAAGAATTTCTTCTGGTTAGAGCCGTTCCATGTGGGCCGTCCGGGTGCCTAATAATTCTTATTGGCCGATCAGTTTTAAAAAGTATCTTGAAAAACCTTTATGCCTGATTTGTTGGCTTCCAATAATTTGACTTTTGTAGTCGATGAAGCATAATAAAAATGGACTCACATCTGTATAAGAACCATCTCAGAGCTCATTGTTTACCGCAAATTTTCTTGACCGAATACGCGTAATAAATACATAAAAATCACCAAAATCGGGCAAGCGGTTAAGGCGGAGAAAAAAGTACATTAGGTAGGTTGCCCAGATAAGGGACGCACTTGGACATTCAGGGAATGGTAAATCTGCCTTTTCCAAGTTGGATAAAGAAGCAAAGCGAATGGGTCTGGTGGTAAACGAGGAAAATACAAAGTATCTCCTGTCATCAAACAAACCGTCAGCACATTCGCGCCTTGGCACCCACGTCACTGTTGACAGTTATAATTTCGAGAAAGAAGAGAATTTCGTTTACTTGAGAACCAGCATTAACATCGATAGTAATGTCAGCATGGAAATCCAACGCAGGATTACTCTTGCCAGCAAGTGCTACTTTGAACTGAGTAGGCAAGTCCTCTCGACGTACGAAAACCACACTCTATAAGTCACTCATCATGCCCATGCTGGTATATGGCAAAAACCGATGAGGCGGCTCGTGGAGGATTCGAGAGAAAGATTTTGCGGAAGATTTACTTGCCTTTAAGCGTTGGCGACGGCGAGTATCTCAGACGATG